CCCAGTGGAGTTCATTTTGATAAGAGAGACAGACAGGAAATGAAGCAAACAAAATATATACTGTGTTGGGGAATAAAGAAGCCAAGGAGAAGGAATAAAAAATTGGATGGGGGATAGAGAATGCTGCGGTGAGGGCCCGGTGTTTTCTAGGGTGGCCTGGGAAGGCCTCACTGAGAGGAAGTCCTTTGATAAATCCTAAAGGAGGAGGCCTGGGGATGTTCAAGGCAGAGGAACAGCCAGTACGAAGGCCCTGAGAGGGAAGCATGAGGCCCTGAGAGGGAAGAATGTCTCAGGTGAGTGATGGGCAGTGAGGGGTCCCAGGTGGCTGGAAGAGAAAAGAAGGGGAGAGATAAGGGAATCAGGGAGGACAGATCAGGAAGCTCCCCCTGCCCCAAGGACTTTGTCTTTTACTATGAATAAGATAAAATCACAGAGGCCAGCGTGGAGGCGGAGAGCAGTGGCTGCAGGCCAAAGACCATAGTATGCGTAAGAAGAGGCAGGGAGACTGGTGGGAGGGTGGCTTGGCCAGGGGCATCCCACTGGACATGGGAGCAGGGGCTGAACTCTGAACAGTGCTCTGAAGTTATACAGACAGGACTTTCCTGTCAAATCACAGGAAATCAATTTGGCATGGCAAGTAGGAGTTATCAAATCCTCACGGTACAGAAGACAACATCAAACCTTGATGAGCCTGGATGACGTGCACTGTATCATGTAGTTACTAAACGGTCTTTCCGAAGGCAGGAAGGTTGCAGGGTCTGCCTGAAGCTGACTGTAACGGATGTGTGGTCTGCACGTGGGTGTGTCTATTTTGCCCTTCTCTACAGCTCCATATCTGTTGTCACCCCATCTCCACGCCCCCCACTGCCACCTTTCAGGTTCTGCTCTTCTGATGCTTTGCAGACATATCTTTGCCTTCCACTGAGCCCATTTCTTTTTTATTTGTTTTTTTTGAGATGAAGTCCTGCTCTGTCGCCCAGGCCGCGGTGGAATGGTGCCATCTCGGCTCACTGCAACCTCTGTCCCCCCCGGATTCGAACAATTCTCCTGCCTCAGCCTCCTGAGTAGCTGAAATTACAGGCCCGTGCCTCCAAGCTCAGTTAGTTTTTGTATTTTTAGTAGAGACAGGGTTTCACCATGTTAGCCAGGATGCTCTCAATCTCCTGACCTCGTAGTTCACCCACCTCAGCCTCCCAAAGTGCTGGGATTACAGACGTGAGCCACCACGCCTCCCGAGCCCATTTCTAAGTGGCCTGTATGTTTCTGGTGCCACGTGTATGTGGGTGTTGCTGGCTGTGAGCACCTATGGATGGGAGGCTTAGGGGATTGGGTGTGTGTATGAGTGTAAATCTGTGTGCAAATGTATGACCACATGGAGGTATCCTCTCTCCTCTCTCCTCTTTCAAATTTGCTCCCAACCTGAAAGGTTCAGGTCAAGCCCACTTCTCCAAGAAGCCACCTTACTAGGCCATAAGAAGCCCTTCCTGCTGACCTCCCACCACCCCCTCCATCATAACCACACACTCCACAGCTCTGCTTTCGAGTGGATCTACCTCCTAGAATGCCAGCTGCCACATGCTGCAGGGCAAGGTGGGCATGCAGGTGCACATCCCTGCCCAAGTTCAACCATCAGGCTAGACCTCCTGGGATCACCTCCCCCAGCTCCCATGTGTGTTGTTTAATGGTGCTTTGGGGAATTAGGGGCACCAGCCTCAGTAGGGTCTAGTAGGCAGGCCTGGTGGCCTCCAGCAGGCAGAGGCAGGTGCACAGACGTGGCTGCACCCAGCTCCCTTCCTCCCTGTGGGTGGCAGCTGAGTCTCTAGGCTGGAGGATGGTACTCTACACTGCACTCTCTCAGTGAGCTCCCAGGGTGAGCTAATGGGGGCCCTGGGAATGCAGAGACATACCCCCCTAGAGAGACCTGTGGGCCTCAGGGTGCTGGTCCCATCCTTTGCTCCCTCCCCTGCACCCACCCCAAGGCTGGGCCCCAGAGCAGGGCTCCTTCTGCTGTAAACCCCTCTCCTTGTCCATCCCCTTCTTCCTCCCAGGGTACTGGTTCCTCTGTGAACCCTTTGGCCCCTCCTGTAGGTACTACAGGGTCCTTTCTCTTTAATCCTCTGGAAATCAGGCCTTTGCTGTTAGTGGAGTTGCCTGACAAACTAGAGAATCATTTCAGCCTGGCCCGGAGCCAGCCATCCTTTCCTGGTCCACACTGGAGATCCTGGAGGCACAGGTCAGTTGAGTTCCCGCCCCCACAGCCTGCCCTTCCCTCCTCCTGGCCAGGCAACAGCCTCAGGGCCTGTGTTCTAGCTGTTTCCTCTGCCTGAAATGTTTTCCCTCAGACTCTGCTTGGCTCTTCTTTCTCTAAGCACCTGTTGAAATGCTGGCCTCTCTATGAGGCCTACCTGGGGCACCCAGCTTCCTGCTGTGACCTGTGTGAGTGCATGCCCCTCACCTTCCTGCACTCTTCATCTCCCCGCCTTGTACCCCTCCATCTGCTTCCTCTTTCTTTCTATAGAACCCACTGCCTACATAAGGATGATAGACTGTAAGGCCAGGTGCAGTGGCTCACATCTGTGATCCCAGCACTTTGGGAAGCTGAGGTAGGAGGATCCCTTGAGGCCAGCCTGGAATCAACAGCAAGACCCATCCCTACAAAAAAGAAAAAGAAAATTAGCCAGGTGTGGTGGTACATACCTGTAGTCCCAGCTACTTGGAGGTTCAGGTAGGGAGAATCACTTGACAATGCGAGTTTGAGGCTGCAGTGAGCTGATTGGTCACTGTACTCCGGGGCCACAGAGGAAGACCCTATCTCAAAGAAATAAATAAATAAAGTTAAAACATTAAAAAAAGAGGAAGAAAGGAATGTATTTATTCTATTGCATTATTCTATGTATTTATTCTATTTAGTCTATTGCAAACTCCCCAACAAAATATGAGGACCCATGAGGGCAGAAATCTTTTTTTCTTTTGAGACGGAGTTTCCCTCTTGTTGCCCAGGCTGGAGTGCAATGGTGCGATCTCGGCTCACTGCAACCTCTGCCTCCCAGGTTCAAGCGATTCTGCTTCAGCCTCCCGAATAGCTGGGATTACAGGTGGATGCCACCACACCCAGCTAATTTTTGCATTTTTAGTAGAGATGGCCAGGCTGGTCTCAAACTCCTGACCTCAGGTGATCTGCCCGCCTTGGCCTCCCAAAGTGCTGGGATTACAGGTTTTAGCCACCATGCCCAGCTGAGGGCAGGAATCTTTCCTTTTCTCACTGATGCCCAGAACTTGCCAGGCCATTTTAGGTGCTCCATAGACATTTCCTTTGGTTGTCTCTGGCACTGGAGCTGAGAGCAGAGAGAAGCCTGAGGGAGGAAGGGGGTCTTCAAAGCCATGGCTGCTCCTCAGACTGGGGCAGGGGCAGGCGAGGGAGAGGAGCCGGGTAGCCACTGGATCTCTGGACCCCTCTACCCCACCTGCCCCCTCCCTGGGGTGGAGTGCCCTCCCTGCACACGCATGTTGGTGCACACCTGCGTACCCTGCATCCATGGCCCCACCTCCTACCTCATCCTCTGCACACGCAGCTGACGTGCCTGTGGTTTTGAGGCCCCAGAGGTACAGGTTAGAGTTAGGGCATCTGTCCTCTGGGCTGCAGCAGGGGGTGGGGTGGAGACAGGTACACCCTGCAAGCAAGCACACAGAGGCCCCTTCTCCCAGACCCCCTTGCCCACACATGTGGACAGACAGGTGGTTCCCCAGGCTGGCTGTTCTTGGACCTCAGGCCCAGGAGCTGTGCACCTATCTGTACTAGGCCCTGCTGCAGGGAGAGAGGGGAGGCAGAGGAAGTGGTGTGGGCGCCCTTCCTAGCATCTGAACTTCCACCTTTAGTGTTTGTGCCTGATGCATGGGTGCCCAGCTTTGTTTGTCAGTTCTGTGCTTTGAGGGAAGCATTATTTCTTTTGCCTTCTCATGTCAAAACCACATCCCTGAGGAACAGGTTCCACGTTCAGCCCTTAGTGGTGTCAACCTTGTCTGCTCAGGGCTCCCTTATGCACACACCATGTGGCCAGTCCCGGGGAACCTGCTGGGCCCCTGCTCAGAAACCTGCTGCCGCCCAGGGCCTGCCAGGTCCAGCCCTGCACTTGGACCCAGTGCTCGAGGTCCTGCCCTGCTACCTTCCCTACTCCAGGCATCCTGCTTTGTGGGGAGATGAGTGAGGCCTTGAGCCAGATGTTCAGGTTCAATGCCAGCTCTGCATGATTGGCAAGTCACTTAGCCTCTCCGAGCCCAGGTTCCCTCCCTCACAGAACTATTGTGAGGGTTAAGTAGGTTCATATATGCAAAGTGCTTACACAGCCCCTAATGTGCAGGAAAGTTGTCCATAAATATTAGCTGCCATGATGATCATTTCCTGGCTCAGAGTCGGGGGATCTGAGAAATGGCTTTGTCAGGGCTTTACAGCCCAGCTCCGGCCTCTCAGACCGAGCCAGCTGCTTCCAGGTCACCTGGGAGCTTGTTGGAGACTCTGAGTCCTTAGCCACTCCAGGGGCTGTGACACAGCAGCTGTGGGCTGGGCTGGGGTGGTGGGGCTGGGGACCCCACACCTGGGCCTGCAGGCATCTGTGAAACAGCAGTCCCCTGCAAGGCCCTTCCCCAGCCTCAGGCTGGTTCACCCACCAGACCCTTTCCACTCTGCTTCTCCAGTTCCCCTCTGCCTTGCAAGGTTCCTCTCCGGTGGGAAGTAGGCCCATGAACCCTGCCGCCCCGGCTCCATAACCCCTACTTTCTGGATCCTCAGTTTCCTCAAGTATGAAAGGGGATAAAAACGCTCACATCTCAGGATGAATGTTAAGCGAGGTGTTAGATGTGATGTGCCTGGCCCATGGCAGCCAAGAAGCCTGGTTATCATTCCTGCTGTTGCTGTGATTGCCCGAACCCCGCACCTGCTCAGCACCTGCATGCTCCTTCGGGCTCCCGGCAGGGTAGCGTCTAAGCACCTAAACTCACATCAGGTGTTGGGAAAGACATTTGACCAGGGTGGGCTCTGGTTCACGTTCCACCTCCTTGCCTTAGGCTCTGGGAGCTGAGAGGGAGCACCATAGCTGGAGTCTGAGGGTGGCTGGCCCTCACTACAAACAGCTGAGTGAAGGAGGAAGGAAGAGAGATTGAACGAGTAGCTCGGGCCCCAGAGGAAGTTGAAAGCCAGGCCACGGAGTGACAGTTCTTGGGGGCCCTACTGCAGCTCCCTTCCTGTCCCCCCGGCTGCTGTCAGTGGGGAGCACACAGGTCCTGGGTAAGTAGAGGCACTATCCCAGTCTGGGGCAGCTCCTGGGCTCTGCCACTGCAGACCGGGGCAGCCACCAGAGCTGTGCATCTCAGGGTCAGCATTGCCCTCTCCAGGCTCCCCCGTGAAAGCCATTTACCCACACCTCCTCATCGCACCCCCAACTCCAGGCCCTACCTTGCTCCACCTCACCCGGCCGCAGCCCTAGGAAACATCCATGTTTCTAGGTGAAAACACCTATTATGTGCCAGGTGGTTTCAGGTTCCACAACCTCATTTAATCCTCCACAATTCCCTGACATTTTACAGGAAAGCAAACTGGCTCAGAGAGGCTGAATAGCCTGCTTGAGATGACACAGCTTGCGGGTGGCTGAGTTGGCCTTCCCACCCAGATTTCCGTCATGAGGTTCCTCCAGCCGACAGGTGAGTGGATTTGTGCTGAAAGAGACTGTGCAATGAGGCCTCTTGTTTGTCAAGGAGGAAATGGACACCCAGCGCTGGGAATTGAGCGCCCCAGGCCACGCCACAGGCTCCTGGCAGAAACAGGATGGCTTACAGAACCTTCTTTTGGCACTGGGTGCTGATGGGAATGGCTCTGCCGGGAAGCCTTCCTCCTTCGCTGCCTCCAGGTCTCCACTCAGAGGCCACCTCCCCAGAGAGGAGCATTTCTGGAAGCCCTAATTGAAGTAGGGCACTGTCACCCTCTACCCTGGGCTGGCTTTAGCTTTCTTTGTGGCACTTACCATCACTGGCAGTTTTATGTATCCAATTATTGATTCATTGTTTTCCCCCCATGCTAGAATGTGAACTCCATGAGCTCAGGGAAGGTCTGTCTTGTTCCCTTGCCTAGAATAGTACCTTGTACAAACTCAACAATTTTTTGTGGATTGAATGAATGAACGAGAGTGTCAGGTGATCAAGAAGCAAGCATACATGGGGGAAAGTTTTTGGTGTGATGATTCTGGTGGAGGAGGAAACCGAGAAGCAATTTACAAAAGGGAAGGGGCAGGGCCAGTGTGGACAGCCATAGCGTCCGGCACAGACTGCCAAGTGAATGGTGCCCCCTGCAGTTGGACAGTTCTCAACCTGGACAACCGTCCATGGTGTCCCTGGGGGTGGGAAAGGACCATGCTGTCAACAGGGACCGAGGGAGACATGAGCTGTGAGTGGGGCACATCTGTAGGTGCCTGTAGCGGGAGGAACAGGCTGTTCCCTGTGTGAGGATGCCACGTGGTTGCGGTTAGCAGCTTGCCATCCGGTGTTGTCTCCACAGACAGTTGTCCAACCAGGGAGGGGGTGATTGCTGTGCTGCGAGCAATTGCTAGTACCTGGAGCGCCCAGAGAGCTGTGGGCAGGAAAATCACCCGACACACCCCACAAACACACATCAAACACTGTGGACAAAGATAATCGCAGCAGGCGGAGGGAGGGCTGTTTCCTGAACCAGCCCTGGCTGGGAGGTGAAGGACACCGTGTACTGAAGTCTCTTCCCTGCACAGGGGCCTCGGTGAGGAACTTGTCACAGCTCCGTCAGCCCGGCCCCCTTCCTCCTCTCTGGCCCCACAGGCTGGGCACAACAACAGTCACCTGGTGATCTCGGGCTGCCTTCAGTGAGTCACCCTGCCCACAGCGAGCCTGGCTGGACGATGTTATCAGCTCCCCGCTTACTTAATTCCTCGGCTGACATCACCACCGCCTCCGTCTTCTCCTTCTCGGCACTGTAGCCTGCAGCCTGGCGTATCCTGGAAGGGAAGGCGGTGGAGGTCTCTTGCCAGAAACTAGCAGGGCAGGTAAATTGGGACCTTCAGTTCCTTGGCCTTTAGCCCCAAGGGGTGTGGCCTGGCTTCTTGCTTTGCACGAAGGGGCCTCAGTTTACCTCCCAGGAGGTGCTCTTTGCTGTGAAGTCCTGGGAAGCACATGACGGCCCCGCTCCATGCTCATCTCCTCTCTCCTTGTGCAGAGGGGGTCCTGTCAGACAGAGGCCTTCATGGAGGCCAAGCTGCTTGCCCTGCTATGTGTCCAAGTGTATCCTGGTGTCGTACCCCCAAGTCCCGCCTCAGTTCTGTCTAGCATGGGCCCCTGCCTCTGAGCTTCTATGATAGGCTCAGATGGGGCAGCCTTGCTGGCCTTCTGCCCACCTCTGTTACTGGGCCACCATGCCCTGGAACTCAGCCCCTCGCCTCCTGGGAGCCCAGGCCAGCCCTTCCCCATCACAGCCTAGCATTCCCTCTTGCCTCCCTTCACCTTGACCCCTCCCAGTGCCAACCTGCAGTCCCAGTGGCACATGGGTAGGGTCAGTAGAGCAGTGACAGAAGTGACCAGAGACGCATGTGTTTCCATTTCAGCCAGGTCTCTGCCTCTGCATCCCAGTAGGATGAGGGAGGGAATTCGTTCCTCTCCCTGAACTGTCCTACTCTACCCCTTCCCCACCATTGGAGCCGGACAGCAGAGCCGGGAGGCTGAGAGAGCCCAGGGAGGGGCTGAGCACAGACCTCCTGGGCTGGACCTCCATCTGTGATGGGAAGCTGCCCAAGCCTGGCATTCGAGGGAGGCAGTGAGGGGAAGTGGGTGGGGCTGGGCAGGGACAAGGGGCAACCCTCGGAGCTGCCAGACAGCTTCCTCTATGACCCTCAGGGGACACTTCCTCCAGTGGCACTGCCAGAGTCTGGGGAAAGAGTTGTCTAAACACCAGTCACCTTTACTCTAGTTATTTGACCAAAACAAATTGTTCCTTAGAAGGAAAAAGAAAAAAACTGAAACCCCAAAACCCCAACATTGATGTCATGCTGATCACCCTGTGAGCTGAGTCCTGGTACAGAGAGCACCCCTGGGGAGGGCGGGTACCCCCCTCATTCTTCCCATGGGAAGGGGATCAGAGGTTGGCCCCGCCACTCTGCACATAGACGCTGCTGCTGCCTCCACATGCTGGAATGCTGTAGAATGCTGTTCTAACCTTCTGGAGTGGGGGGCTCCAGAGAGAGGTCAGAGCAACCCTGGGCTCGTCCCCAAACACACCACTCTCAGCGGACAGATGTTTCTTCGCCTGTTGAGTAGAGGAGCTATTGAGATATTAAGTGTGAAAGTGTACTGAGAGGCTGGGGCCCTGTAGAGAAGGGAAAGGGGAGAGGGAAAATTGCAGAAAAGAGACCCCACCTCAATGATTTAAGGTCTGTGGACAACATCTGGCCTCAGCTCTGTTAGGCTCCCTTTAAGTCCTGAGTTGAGTTCTTATTAATGCTTCTAGTGAAGTGCACACCTTGACAGTGATTGGCACCTCTGCTGCACTTGGCTTGTAGTCTGCTCAGACCCTTGGCTCCTGGAATAAAACCTAACCAGAATTAATGGGTGTTCTTACTGTTGTACTTCCCTCCTTGATTGCGGACTAAGCTCAAATTCTAGTCAACCCTGGTTGCTTCCCTCAGTGGGAGAGTGCAGCCCAACTTCAGCTCTAGTTTGCGCCCTTATCCCTCTTTTTTTTTTTTTTTTTTTTGAGACAGAGTCTTACTCTGTCATCCAGACCAGAGTACAGTGGTGCGATCTTGGCTCTGCCTCCCGGGTTCAAGTTATTCTTGTGCCTCAGTCTCCTGAGTAGCTGGGATTACAGGTGTGCACCACCATGCCTAGCTAATTTTGTATTTTTAGTAGAGATGGGGTTTTACCACGTTGGCCAGGCTGGTCTTGAACTCCTACCCTCAGGTGATCCTCCTGCCTCAGCCTCCCAAAGAACCACCATGCCTGGCCTGACCTGTTTTCCCTTTTTAACTCTGAACCCAAAGTTCCCTTCTACTTCCATAGCCCATACATACCTTACACTCATTTATCCTAAACTGAGTTTGTCTTTCTCTCACTGGCCCATTCCTCCATTTGAATGCCACATCTTAGCTCATAGTTATGCATCCCATCACCCACACCAGAGGCTGAGCCACCTCTGACCACTGCCTTCTGTCCAGGGTGTCTCATTGACCCTCTCCTCTGGTGGGTTCTAATGCTTTGGTGTCTTAAGGCTTCATCCCCTCTTCCCTGTTCCTCCCAACCCCTCAGTTTCTCTAGTAATTTAGATCCTCATCTCTTTCCTTAAGAACGGCAGTAGAGCCAATCAGACCTTCAAGGCCATCCTCACACTGCTGCTGGGGACTCTTTTCTGATGCTGTGGTGCCCTCCCCTCTTGGTGACTCCTGCTGGCCCCTCCAGCTTCATGCTCCGACCCTGCTAGACACAGATCCTGTGCATCAGGAAACAGCTGGGCCTAACTGCCTTGTGACCTGTGCTCAGGCTGCTGGGCGCCTCCGCAGCTACAGACTCAGCCCCAACCCTGGCCACAGACAGGGCCCTCTTCTCTCTACCTAGACTGCAGCTTACCAACCCCACGTGGTGGCTACTTGCCAGGCAGACCGGAGTGTGGGTATTTCATTTTACCCACTTCCCACCGGGGACCTAAGACAAGTGACTGTCTCTTGCTTGGCCTTCCTTTCATTATCTGCCACATGGGAGGGTAACACAACCTGCCTCCCAGGATGGATGGTTGGGCCTGGCACTCCGTGAGGGGTGGCACAGGGCACCTGTGTGGCACCTGCTGTTGTGATGAATTGCCAGGACCTGGGAGACCGTGCAGAGAGACCAGGGCTCTCCAGCACAGTGTTCCTGTTCTTCCCCTTTCTGGCCGTCTGCTCTCCCCACCCAGACGAGGGCTTGGGCAAGGCCGCCTCTTCCCCTCTGCAGCACTTCCTCTGAGGACCTCGTGCTGTCCTCACCAGCTGCAGGTCCAGTGTGAGACTCGTTCTCAGCCCGGGACAGTGTGGGCTGCCACACTCCTCTCCCTGGCTGCAACTACAGGGCTTTGCTCAATAAGGCCCCAAAGGTTGCTGCAACCACAGGGTGACTGAGCCGCTGAGGTGGCACAGAGCACACCAGTGGCTTCTAGCTCCAAAGCCCAGATGCTTTCCACTCCGTCCTGCTGCTGCCCTTCTGCCTTTCTTCTGGCATCTAAATGACCTCAGTCTCCTTGTCTGCAAAATGGGGACAAAAATTGCTTCTCTTGCTTTCTCAGCCAGAGGACTGGGAGAACAATGGGGCTGGGCAGGGAAGTTGTGATGAGGTGGAGACCTCGCTGTGTGGCAGGCAGGCGAGTCTGGCTGGGGCGGGGGATGTGACAGGAGGAGCTGCAGGGAGACCTCGCCACCCATCCAAGCTGCCTCCCATCCTTGGCCAGAGCCGTGTGTCTGAGTCCACAGCGCCCCCTGCTGGCGAGCTGGCCCAGAAGCTCCCTGTGGGCAGCACCAGCCCACAGGGCATTTCCCCTGCAGGGACCACGGGGTAGGAGCAGCCCTGCCCTCAGGGAGCCCCATCGAGGAGGGACGCGTACCCAGGCCTCAGGGAGCCCCATCGGGAGGGACGCGTACCCAGGCCTCAGGAGCCCCAACGGAGGAGGGACTTGTACCCAGGCCTCAGGGAGCCCAGATGGGACGTGGGGAACCAGGACTTTTGTCTGAGAAGGGAGTTCCCTAGGTCCAGGAGCGCATCATTCTGCTCTGAGAAATCTGCTGAAATCCTTTTGCGGAGGAAGGTCAACAGCCTGCCAGGGAGCCGGTAGTCCGCTCCAAAAACCAGCAGCCACCCCTCGATTACGGGAGTGTGGGGGTGGGGGGCGGGACGGGGACAATGGGCAAAGACAGACCCTAAGAAGTCAGGCCAGTGCGGGCTAGTCAGGTCCCTGACTGGCCCTTGGGCTGGGCCCCCGCTGGCATCAATGGAGGAGCTTCTAGCCCTCTGGAGCCCAGGCGCCTTCCTCCTGCGTCGGACCTTTTCTCAGTCAGTGGCTTCATCAATCATCTCAGTTCGACCTTAGCCTGGTTCTGTGTTGGGTGCTGGGGATTCTGCGAGGAGCCAGCCCTTAACTGGGTCTCCGGGATCTCAGATCTGCCCTTATCCCCCCACCCCACAATCCCCCTTCCCTCCTTCTTCCTCAGTGTTTTCCCTGCTCCCTGGGCTCCCGGACATGATCCAAAAGGAAGGCAGCTGGGGCAAACAGACACACCCCGGACTAAAATCCAGCCAGCCAGCAGCGGTCATCCTCCTGTCCTCTCCCAGAAGCTCTCCCAGTCACCCCGCATCCTGGGCTCTGCTTACTGTTTTTGAGACTTTCCCCTCAAAATCCTTCCTCCCCCAACTGCCTACATAAGTCCCCAGTGGAATTCCATCTCCTCCAGGTAGCCTCCCTGGCTGGATCTCAGTCTCTGTGATCTTAGACTTTTGAAGGATCTCCTAGACACACTGCTTTGTCCTAGGTAGGTTTATCCTATCTGCCTAGATGCTCCATGCCTCAGGAAGGAAGGTCTATGCCACCTCCTTCCTTGCACCCCTGGGAAGACCCACGGGACAGTCCCTACATGCTCATTTAAGTCGGTGATTGTCAACTGGGCACAGTTTTGCCCCAGGGGACATTTGTCAATGTCTAGAGATAATTTTGATTGTCACAACTTGGGGAGGGGGCAGAGCTACTGGCATCTAGTGGGTGGAGGTCACAGATGCTGTCACATCCTGCAGTGCACAGGCCAGCCCGCCCCCAGCCCAATATTCCAGCAGTGCCAGGTTAGAAATCCCGATTGAAATACAGTCAGAGACTGAAGTATAAATATAATGGCCAAGAAGAGGCAATGGCTCAGGCAGGAGCAACATTCATCCCTCTAGAGGAGACAGCACAGGAGCCTTCCCTCCAAGTGACTGACACAGTCCCAGGTCCCTCCCATGCCCTTTCCGGGCCTGGCAGTGTCTGTCTAAGTGGAGGCCCACCTGGGCTAGAGGAGGAGCCAGGGTCTGTCTAGAGAGTTCGTGGGGAAGTGGGCTCTGTGTGGGGAGCTCTTTGGGAACAGGTAGTGGCTTGGCCTCAGTTTAGTCATCTGTAAAATGGGGATAGGATGGCTGGCCCCTTCCAGTTCTAATGGTCCAGGGTCCAAAACTGAGTCTCAGATGTGCACAAGTCATTTTCTCTCTGCTGATGGGCGGGACCCCTCCAGCAGAGCTGAGGGTAGAGTACCGGCTTTTGGCCCCTTCACCAGATGTGTGGGGTTATTGTGGCTATAATTGCCCTTCCGGGAAATAGCTGTGAGAACAAGAATGCTTTGATAGGTTCCATCAAAGCTTCCTTCACGTCTCCTGGGGACTGACTGTGTGGGGGAGCGTAAAGAACTTCCAGCTGGGAGCAGCTGTCAGCCAGGCGCCCATGCAGAGGTGGAGGCTGCACAGGGTGGCCCCACTTTGGTTGGGGTTAAGAATGTCCCAGAGGCTGCTTACCCTGAGACGGGCCTCTCTGGGGGCTCTTCAGGGGCTGTCTCTGTGCCCTTCTGGGGTGGGCTAGAGTGACGCAGGGCTCTCGGCTGCAGAGCGGAGATGGTACTCTCCTGGTATGAATACCTCTTGTACCACAAGGGGCCTGGCTCTGGTTCTCTGGGGCAGGGGTCCACATGGAGGGCAGGGGAAAGTGAGCCCACAGAGACCCTCTCAGCTCTCTCAGAGATAACCTGGTCTCTGGTTATCGAGGGGACCTGGAGGGACTCCCTCTCCAGATCTCACAGACCTGCCTTATGCAGAAGAGCATAAGGGGTCCACACTTGACCAGGAAAGGATTGGCCTTGGAGGAGAATGAATAAGCAGAAGCCTCTCTGCCAGTCAAGACCTTTTTAGCACTTTCCACAAGGAAATTGTTGCCCAAGTAGCCCCTCCTGCAAGTAGGGTGAGTGAGTGAGTGAGTGTGTGTGTGTGTGTGTGTGCACGCACACGCGCACGCAAGCCTGTGTACACTTGCTGAACTGTGACTGGGCTGGAACATCCCTGGGTCCTACCATGTGGCTTTGCAGGTAAGGCTATGGTCTGGAGTTGGTCCTGGGCCAGATGCTGGAATCTCCACAGAGACATTTAACTCCTCCAAGCCTCAGCTTCCTCATCTATAAATGGCCACAGTAACAGTTCCTACCTTATAGATTGTTGTGAGGGTCGAGTGAGGGAATGTGTGTTGAGCATTTAGCATAGTTGCTGGGGCATAGATTGTGCTTGATGAATGCTGGCAAGTGTGGCTTTTGCTGCTGTCATTGTCATCCTCATCATCACCGTTCGAGTTAACATCTTGATTTCTAGAATCCATCCTTTAGGTGATCTGTGGCTTTAGGATGATATGTAAAAGCACTGTCTGGCTTTCCCACTCCTGCCGCTCCCCCCTCAGCAGCTTACAGAGGCAGTTGGGAGAAGCTTTAGTCCAGGAACACCTTGGACATTTAGGGTACAGGATGAGGACCACAGATGTGGGGTGGCTGGGGGTGCAGCTGAGATGGCTGTGTTCCTGTCACCTT